TTTTATTTTGAGAAGTCTTGCTAAGTTGCCAGGCTAGGCTCAAACTTGGAATTCTCTTGCCTCAGCCTCTCAGAGTTTGGGATTACAGAATGTGCCACTGTGCACGGTTTACAACTTGCTTTTTAAACTACATACATAGCCCGGCGTGATGGTGCACGCCTGTAATCCCAGCACTTGGGAGGCTGTGGCAGAAGGATCCCTGTGAGTTCCAGACCAGCCTGGGCTACAAAGTGAGTTCCAGGTCAGTCTCAACTACATAGTGAGACCCTGTTGCAAAATTCCACCAAATATATCACAGTTTAACTGATAATGTTCATGATTAATATATTTTGTTAATTTGGTCCTAAAATGTGGTGGTGGCTGGGCGCAGTGGTGCAGACCAGTTATCCCAGGACTTGGGAGGCTGAGACAGGTGAATTGCTGCGAGTTCGAGGCCAGCCTGAACTATATATAGCAAGGCCCTGTCTGAAAGATAAAGAAAGTAGTAAATATTTTGATATAAAAATACCCATAAAGCATTGATCATTTCCTTAGGACTAGGTTCCTGGGAGTGGGATTTACTATGTCAAAATGTTTTATATTTAAACTGGGCATAGTTTATAATCCCAGCACTTGGGAGGTTGAGGCGGGAAGCTAGCTTGCTGCTGAGTTCAAGGTCAGCCTGGACTATCTAGTGAATTCAAGGCCAGCCTGAACTAAGTGAGACCCTTGTCTGAAAAAAAAAGTTTGGTGTTTTTGTTTTTTATCGTTTGGTACCAGGGATTGAACTCAGAACCTTGCGCTTGCAAGGCAGGCAGCAGAACCACTGAGCTAAATCCCTGGCCCAAGTTTTGTGTTTTTAAACCTCTTGAAAATAGTTAAAATACAGACATGACTACAGTTTTGTGTTCAAGAATTGGCTCATCAGCCAGGCATGGTGGTGCACACCTGTAATTCCAACACTTCGGAGGTGAGCAGGAGGATCCCTGCAAGTTCCAGGCCAACCTGGGCTACATAGTGAGACCCTGCCTGAAAACTAACAAACCCCAAACAAACAAAAAAATCGACACATCGTGGAACTGATGCTTACATGTGCCAGTGTGGGCTACTTAAAAATCACATGGAAAGCCAGGTATAGTGACACAAGTCTGTAATCTTAGCACTCTGGAAGACTGAGAATGAGCATTGCAAGTTTGAATCGAATTTAGGTGACTTAGCAAGATCCTGTTTCAAAATTTAAAAAAAAACAAAAAAAGATGCTGGGGATTGCTCAGTGTGAAGTCCCTGGGTTCAATCCCCAGTCCTGGGGGAGGGGAAACCCACTAAAAGAATACCACCCAGAAATCTTGACATTTTTCTGTCATAACTTGTGACTTTGTATTATGTAAGACCTAAAGTCTCACTTCCAGTCCGAGAAGCGTGAACAGCTGAAAGGGCCTTCACGATGTTGTGTCCTATAGCCCAACGATGGCTCCGGATGCAAGACACAGGGCCGTACTTCCGGGAGCCTTGAACAGCCCAAAGGGCCTCCAACATGCTGGGGCCTATAGCTCAGCGAGGCTCTGGGAGCTCGATGAGCAGCGAGACTCACCCAGGAAGGAACACACCAGGCTCGTTGATAAATAGACCTTTTTTAGTCTGGCCGGACGGCACTCTGAGAACTGAGCAGCTCAGAGAGGCCCAGCATAGGGGTTAGCACAATTTTTCAAAGGCAAGGAAAGAGGATTGCAAGCACAGCAAGTGGGCCAGGGGTCAGGGGGTCGGTTTTCTGCCATCTATCTAAAGGAGTCAGCTATACGGTGCACCTGACCTTTCATCTCCAGACCTCAGGCTGTTCTGTTCTAATGAGGCCTTGAGTCGCTATCTTGTTTACCCGTACATACCAGGCTTCCATACACTCTGTTTTAATCTTATCTTGGAGCTGGGTAGAAAGAAATGCTTGCTGCTATATGCTGGCGGCTAACTAGGGGTTACATAGCGGTTAGAATCCCACACTTAGATCTGCAATTTTGTTATCTTTCACCCTGGAGAAAGAGAATTTCCAAGCAGGTAGTTGAGGCGGTCACATCGTTTATAATAAGCTTTAGAGCACCATTTCTTTGTGGTGCTCAATACAAATGAGTCAGTAACTCTGTTTTTCCTTAGCAGTACATTTTGAGTGGCTGTTACAGTATAATAGGAATTTAGTAAATCTTTTTTGGAGTTTAAAAATATCTATTGTACTATAACTTCACTGTGCCAAAAATGATGTAGAACTATATAGTAAAGATTATTTACTTGGGTAAATACCAAATAGTTTCTCTGGTATGAAAAACTATAATAGTACACAAGATCCTAATGGGATAATTAAAAGTGTGAAATAGGAAGAAAAAGGCTAAAGGTGTAGGGAAAAGGGGGAAGGGTAGGGGAAAGGAAATAAGGGAAAAGAAAAAATATGAGGAAATAAAGAGTTTGTAAGTGGGGAGTGGAAGAGGGGGTGAAGGGAGGGTAGGGACAAGGGGGAAAAATGAAAACCAAGAACTGTCATGTGAAGGTACAGGATCCCATTAATGTAACTGTATTGTGGACCTAGATTATTCCAATAAACTCAATAAAAAGAAAAAAAAAGATTATGTACTTTGATTTTGATTTCAGACAATTTAGGTTTTATTCTTAGCTCTACCACTAGTTGCTTGCTGATCTTGAGCAGAAGCCTGGTAGAGTAACTGGTAGTAGTGGTTACTATTTTTTACCCTTCCCATCCATCTTTCATTATGAATACCTTGAGACTAAAGCTATCTTTTGGATCTAGCTAGCAGCAGAACCTGCTGTGGTGCTATAAATTATAACTATAAATTATAGTTGAATTATAACTATAAATTATAGTTGAAAAAATTTTTATTTTGGTTTTTTGAGAGAGGGGCTCACTATGTAGTGAGACTGACCTGGAACTCATTATGTAACCCACGCTGATCTCAAACTCACAGCGATCCTTCTGCCTCTGCCTCCCGAGTGCTGGGATTATAGGCGTGTACCACCCAGCCTGGCTGTAGTTGAAATTTTGAGGTTAAGATTCAGAGGTATACTTACATATAAATGCTTCAACTGTACTGAGTTGAATTGCAAACCTCCTTGTTCTCTGCTACCCAGAATTTATACACACCACTTTCTCTGGAAAGTTTACACTCACTCTTTGCCGGTAACTTGTTTTTCATTACTCAGTGTAAGTCTTGTCTCCTCCTGGAAAGCTTTTCATAACCTCTCTATATATGTTGGCTCATTTCTCTGGATTTCAGTTCTAGGCAGACAATTATTTGTTGTAGGTACACAGTCCTGTTAATTGTAGAATGTTTAACAGCATCCCGGGTCTCTACCCACCAGTTGGCAGTGGCATCCCTTTCCACTTGTGGAAACCCAGAATGTCTCCAGTCATTGCCTCGATGTCCCTTTAGGGTCAAAAATCACTTCTAATTGAGAAACTCTAGAATTATAATCCTTATGAAATAGGATTATAATTGCTAAATTTTCTTAGCTGTTCCCTACACCCCCAGTAGAATATAAGTTCCTTTTGAAGGATAGAGACCTTACCTTATTTATACTTCTTATCCCCAGCATGTATTCTGAGTGTGACATATAATCAGTAAATATTTCTTCTTTGGATTGAACATAATTTACCATAGTGGGTCAGAGAGAAACTGATATACAACCCTTGTTTTAAATTGGGGCTTGGGGAAAAAAAATAAACTGGGGCTTCAGTTAATTGTTAAATGTAGTGTAAAGCAGAAGAGGTGACTCTTACCTGTAACCTTAGCACTCTTAGAGGCTGAGGCAGGACAATTACAAGTTCAAGCCAAGCTTGGGCAACATAGTGATTCAGCAAGACCTTGTCCTCTAATTGGATGGATGGATGGATGGGGCGGCGGGGGGGGGGGGGGGGGGCTCAGGGTGAAGGCCCTAGGCTTAATCCTCAACTTCGGTCTGGATATTACATGTTTTGAATTTTGATTCTAGTATTAAAAGTGACAAAAAGATACTGTGCTGTCTTAAAATGGAATTTATAGCAGTCAGTATATGATGGTAGAGCCTAAGATCTTGTGAGGCAGGGGCAGGGGCTTTGTTGACTTAACTGCTATTAAATAAAAATGTTGGTAAATAGTGTTCTGTAGAATTTTGTAAAGCACTTTTTTTCTTGGGCTTTTCACTTTGCATATGAGTAGATGTTAATGACATTTCTGTTTCCCAAAGGCAAAAACCCTACTTTTAGTGTCAAATATACCTCTAAAAGGTGTTAGTTCTTAAGCTAATTTTGACTCCAGACAGTAGCCATCCTGGTTCTTTGTCCACAAGGAACAGCACAGCATTTAATAGCAAACTTTGAGGAGTTAAGATGATGAAAATATTTTTGAATTTCAGTCTAAACTTGATAACCTTTTTTAGTCACTAACCTTGCTGAGAGTTTAAAAGCAGAAGGCCTTCATCCCATGGTCCGGAGTTTAGTCCCCAGTACCAAAGAAAAAAAAAAAAGCAGAAGGCCTTCCTGTTTTCTGATCTTTTTATCATCCCATCATTGTGCCACTCACCTGGGCATTTTATCTTTCACCAGATTCTTCCAGCTTTTACTTTAAAATAGATTTCAAATCCAGCTGCTTCTACCTACCACACCACTGCTATACTATCCTGGTCTTAAGTATTGCCATGTTTTATCGGGACATGTCTTATCATGGACTGTGGTAGTAGCTTTCTCATTGGTCTCATTATCCTTTTCCAGTCAGGTCTTTACACAGCAGCTGAAATATGTTAATAAAATGTCATTTAGCTTGTGTCATTTTTTTGTATTAGAAAAATACTCTAGGGCTGAGCGTGGAGCTTTGTGGTAGAGCATGAGCTTAGCATATGTGGGGCCCTGAGTTCAAGTTCCAATACCAAGAAGAAAAAGAAGAGCAAAAACCCCATTTTTAGTGTCAAATTTGTCTCTAAGTGGTGTTCTTTCTTAAGCTATTCTTAAGCTATTAAGACAGCCATTGTACTGGTTCTTTTTCCAGGAGGAACAGCTCAGTATGCTGGGCTCTGGATTTAAAGCTGAGCGTTTACGAGTCAATTTGAGATTAGTCATAAACCGTCTCAAACTACTGGAGAAAAAAAAAAGTGAGTAATTCATAATTTACTTTTTCTTTCCCAAAATACATCACTACATGCTAGCACCCCAATACTGAATCTTCTGGGCCAGTACTGTAAAGTTTCAGTATATCTTTTAGAGCATATCTTTTTGAGCATCGGATACATTTCTGCCTTTTCTGACTAGTTAGAATGGGTTGCTTTTTGCAGATAAAGGAACATTGTGTGGACCTTCCACATTCCTGGGTTCTACATTTGGATTCAATCAACTATGTACCATTCAGAAATAATCAGAGAAAAATTGCATCTGTAATATGTACAGGTTTTTTTCTTTACATTATTTCTAAATAATGCATTACAACACATCTGTACATTCATTCTCTTAATGATTATAAATAACCTAGATATGATTTAAAGTACACAGGATATTATATGCAAATACTGTGACATCATATATAAGGGACTTGATCATTGTTGGATTTTGGTATCTGTGGGGTGTCCTGGAGCCAATCTCTTTTGAATAACTAGGGATAACTGTACTTTATTACCATAGAATAGTAATAAGACTCTTGAGTTGGAAATATTCTCACATAGTAGCAACTCTGGTGTATTTGAGGGTGGGAGTAGATGAAATGGGAGTAGATTAGCTAAGGCAGTATGAGTTAAGACTGTTGTGAGCCTGTTGGCGCAAATACCACAATAGACTGTTTGTATCATTGAAACTCTAAAAGGTTTGCCATCACTGAGCTAGGCTATGGTAGAAATACCCTGTTCTCTCTGTTGGGGTAGAGGTCTACTCAGAATCCAGGTTCCAGTATCCTACTGGTGTGTGACTAGAGTGGGATTTTTGCCTTAGCGGAACTGGCTCAGAAAGCAAGAAAGGAGATTGCGGATTATCTGGCTGCTGGGAAGGATGAGCGAGCACGGATCCGAGTGGAGCACATCATCCGGGAAGACTACCTCGTGGAGGCCATGGAGATCCTGGAGCTGTACTGTGACCTGCTGCTGGCTCGGTTTGGCCTCATTCAGTCTATGAAGTAAGATATTTTGAGTCAAAGACCTAAATCACTTCTGGAATATGAGAATGATGTAATATTGGTCTCTTTTTCCATGTAGAGCGAGCACATCCGAGTGGAGCACATCATCCGGGAAGACTACCTCGTGGAGGCCATGGAGATCCTGGAGCTGTACTGTGACCTGCTGCTGGCTCGGTTTGGCCTCATTCAGTCTATGAAGTAAGATATTTTGAGTCAAAGACCTAAATCACTTCTGGAATATGAGAATGATGTAATATTGGTCTCTTTTTCCATGTATATGTAGTGGGCTAGCCCAAAGGGACTATTTGACATCTCCAGGTGTCTTTTTCTTAACAGTCATTTGAAGGTGTGTTCTCAATGTAGAATCTGTTGAAAAAAAAATCTGAAATCAAGAGGCGTGAGTTTGAGTCTTGGATTAGCTATTTCTTGACGATTGGAAATTCTTAAAGTTCCCCAAAATTAAAATAGGGTAAAAAAAATGGCTTAGAAGTCTAGAATTATTTTAAGGATCCAGTGAGGTATAAAATAGCCTAAAACGAAAATACGTTTAGAAAAGCAGGGATTGTATTACTTTGTTTTAAAGAATGTTTATTAATTTTTTTCTTTATCAGAGAGCTAGATTCTGGTCTGGCTGAATCTGTATCTACACTAATCTGGGCTGCTCCTCGACTCCAGTCAGAAGTGGCTGAGTTAAAAATAGTGAGTACAGTGTCTGTCAGTGATGTCTGTAGTTTTTCGTTTGTTAGGAAGGTTTGTTAATATGAGTCACTTCTGCTTATTTGACCAGGTGTTTTATATCCTTCTGCTGCTGCTTTTTGAAGCAGGCTTTGTAAATTTGGTTTTCATTTTCAAGCCTTGTTACAGAGCTGAACAGTGTTTTATAAAGCAAATTTGAATAATTCTTTTAAGGAGCAAAGTTTTATGAACCTTCCAGTTTTGTCTTTTAAATTACTTTTGTTACAAGTCTTTTAACCCTATACAGAGAAGTTGTGTGTTGTGTGTGTGTGTGTGTGTGTGTGTGTGTGTGTGTGTGTGTGTTTTCCAGTACTGAGAGTCAGTACCAGGGCCTTGCACATGCTAGGCAAGTGCTGTATCACTGAGCAATAACACCTCTCGCCCCCAGAAAAGTTCTTAACTGTAACCAGTAAAGTTAAATTAACATTCATCTAAAGTAATAAGTGTTTTGTGTCATTCATTAGCTGATAGATGTTTATTGGACAAATACTGTGAGCCATGTGAGCACTTTGATAAGCCATGTGAGAACGGTGGTGAGCAAATGATACCTCCAACCCATACATTGACAGCTTAGTCTAATAGAAGACACAGGTGCTAACCAAAATCTTGCCTGTCACCATATGGATAAGGTACTGACAGCAAGGATACAAATTCAGTAGTTGGTTTCTATTTATTTACATTATTGCCTTTTGTTTTATTTTCTAGGCTGTTGTCTCAAGTCTTAATTTCCTAACATCTGAAATTTTCTTATCTTTCATGGCTGTAATGCCTTCTATTTGATATTGATATTTCCCCTTTAACTTTTTTTCTTTGGGTCATATTCCTTCAATCTGTTTAACATTTCTTTGGATTAAACTGTAGTAGCTTTTCCACAGGCTTGGTGATCTTTGGCTCTTGGTTTGTGTTTAAGAGTGCAGCACTCAAAAGCTGATTAGAACCTGGTGCATGTGTGGCTATACTGCCAGATATACTCACTGTTGGATAATTTTGCAAAGTTTTTTCCAGGGGTGATGCCAGTCTCAGAAATGAGTTTGTTTGTTTGTTTATCTTGGTACCATTTTCACTCTACAGAGAGGTTGTGTGTTGTGTGTGTGTGTGTGTGTGTGTGTGTGTGTGTGTGTGTGTGTTTTCCAGTACTGAGAGTCAGTACCAGGGCCTTGCACATGCTAGGCAAGTGCTGTATCACTGAGCAATAACACCTCTCGCCCCCAGAAAAGTTCTTAACTGTAACCAGTAAAGTTAAATTAACATTCATCTAAAGTAATAAGTGTTTTGTGTCATTCATTAGCTGATAGATGTTTATTGGACAAATACTGTGAGCCATGTGAGCACTTTGATAAGCCATGTGAGAACGGTGGTGAGCAAATGATACCTCCAACCCATACATTGACAGCTTAGTCTAATAGAAGACACAGGTGCTAACCAAAATCTTGCCTGTCACCATATGGATAAGGTACTGACAGCAAGGATACAAATTCAGTAGTTGGTTTCTATTTATTTACATTATTGCCTTTTGTTTTATTTTCTAGGCTGTTGTCTCAAGTCTTAATTTCCTAACATCTGAAATTTTCTTATCTTTCATGGCTGTAATGCCTTCTATTTGATATTGATATTTCCCCTTTAACTTTTTTTCTTTGGGTCATATTCCTTCAATCTGTTTAACATTTCTTTGGATTAAACTGTAGTAGCTTTTCCACAGGCTTGGTGATCTTTGGCTCTTGGTTTGTGTTTAAGAGTGCAGCACTCAAAAGCTGATTAGAACCTGGTGCATGTGTGGCTATACTGCCAGATATACTCACTGTTGGATAATTTTGCAAAGTTTTTTCCAGGGGTGATGCCAGTCTCAGAAATGAGTTTGTTTGTTTGTTTATCTTGGTACCAGGGATTGACTCAGGACCTAGCACTTGTGAGGCAGATGCAGCGCCACTGAGCTAAATGCCTGGCCCCAGAAACTAGTTTTCTTGTTACGGAAGGAATCAGTAAGTGACACACAGAGAGACAGCAGAATGGAAGTAAAATAACAAATTTACTTATCGGTAAGGGTTGATCACACATAAGCCGTGCCTGGATTGACTGTGCACTGGGTTACAACTCCTCCTTTCATAGGGTTTCACAGCCTTGACTTCATTTGGGTGGTTACATTTCATTCTCACAGTTCAAATCACAGTCACAAAATAGTTAATCTTTTCAACCCAGATGTAACAGTTCTTTGCCGTTGGGGAATTTACCTTTAAGATTCACCTAGTTATCTATTCTAGTCCATAGGAAGGGGGGTGTTCAGGGTCGGGGAGTAAATGTTAGCAATGGGTTCTTTTATTAGACACTCTTACTGTCATGTGGCTCCAGTCTCTTCAGAGCTCAAGGTCTTGATATGCCCTGTCATCTCAGGGTCAGACAAATGCCTCATTCAGCAGTTGTGCCTTTGGTGCCTATTAGTTAGAGACAGCAGAAGCCATTTTACAGTATAACACTTTATAGGTTTTTGCTATTTATAAAAGTTCTCCCTATCATTCTTTCCTGGGGTTGGTCATTTTCTCCACAGAGGAATCCTTCCTATCTTCTACCTGGAAACAAGTTGGCTGTCAGCATTTCTGAGAAGCCACTGGAGAAGGAAGCCAAAGGTCTCACTGTTTGATACATAGAAGACCAACACTTGGTTTTCTCATGTTATTAGTGTGTAACCCTGCTGTCTTCTCTGAGTGGACTCTAGAACCTCACAGTAACCTCCTATATTCTGATTGAAATAGGACAAGATAGATATTAGGTTTTAGTGGAAGGAGAAAAGAAATGACTGCTTTTTGTACAGGCTTGTTTATAGTCTCCCCATACTCATTTGAACATAATCTCTTACTGGAAAAGGTCTGCATATGCTGCAGAACCAAAAAGCCATAAGCAAAGAGTGATAAATTAATGTAATAAAAATTTAAATTAATAAAAAATGCAATAAGGGCTGGGGATTTAGCTCAGTGGTTCAGTTGCCTGCCTTGCAAGCACAAGGACCCGCGTTCAATCCCTGGTACCAAAAAAAAGCAATAAAACTACTAGGTCAAAAAACAGATGAAAGTGTAGTACCTGGTACCTGTGCTAATCTACATATTAATTATACAGTGAGAAACGCTCTTTCTGGGCTCCCGGAATGTTGAGACCACACTGAGACCATATAAAACTGTTATCATCTCCTTCCTGAGTTGTAGCATCTTATATTCTTCCTAGTCCTACTTTGGTTTCTTCAGTATATTCATGCCATCAGAACTCCCTGAAGAGTTTTGTTCAAATCACAGGTCTAACTATCCTACCCTTTGTTTTAAAGCTCTTTAGTAGCTTTATTTGGTGACCTACATGGCCCTTCATTGTCTGGCTCTTGTTTGCCTCTTTCTTCCTTCATTTCTTACCATACTTCTTCCTCAGGTTCTGCCCTAGAGGCTTGCTGAGTTTCAGCCTTGAGTGTCATCCATGTTTTAATCTACAGGAGGGAGGCCTTTGCACATGCTATCGTCTCTTCCTAGAATGCTCTTCCCTCTACAGTTAACTTCTGGTCATTCTTAAATCTTGGCAAAGCCTCACATCCTTCAGGCAGCCTCACTTAACTTTTCTGATCAGATCTAATTCTCCTGTTAGAAGCTAGTAGTGTGGTATACCTTCCCTTTGTAGCTCTTCCCACCGTTTCAGTTATATACTGTCTGTGATTACTATTTTGCCAGAGACTCTAAGACACTTAATGATTAGGAACAGTGCTTTGTTCACTGTTATAATTATAGTGCATATGATAATGCTTATAATAGTGTTTGGCATTTAGTTGCTGCTTATTGGATAGATGGATAAATGAATTAAGTTATACTCATTAATTAATGTGTAAAGGTTTTATAGACCTCAGTTTTTTGGGAATCATGTAATGAAGCTTGTTTGATATTGGCATGAAGAATCTTGAGGCAGAGTATAGGAATAGTTTCTGTTTTTATTTACTGTTCTTTTTCCTCTGTAGGTTGCTGATCAGCTCTGTGCCAAGTATAGCAAAGAATATGGCAAGTTATGTAGGACCAACCAGATTGGAACTGTTAATGACCGGGTAATAAATGTACTTATTGTGAAGCAGTGTATGAAAGTGTTGTCCTGTGTCCCCATCCGTCTGTACGTGTGTCCCCATTGAGCCCATTTTATTTTGAGATGAGTCATGCTGAATTACCCAGGCTGGCCTTGAACTTGTTTCAGTCTCACAGGTAGCTGGGATTACAGACATGTGCCACTATACCTGTGGTTTACTTTATTGCCTACAGTGATTCTAGTGGTACCGCTGAATGGCTGAGTCAATCAAGAGCTGTGTATTTCATAATAAGGTTGAGAAGGAAGGAAGCCTGTGTAGCTGGCAGTAGAATCATCATCCCACTGCACAGCATCTCTTATCATAATGCTCTGTGGTTCCTGACTTCCCTTCCCCCGTCCTTTGTGAGCTATGAAGCTAGGAAAGTGGGGAGAAGGGTTGAATACAAGTGTAGAAGGCTGTAGTGTAATCTTTTATCAGTGTATGGATCATTTATATAATCCAAGAATGTGGGTCCTGTATTGTACCTGTGATTCTGGGGTGGGGAATTACATAACTCCTCTGATCCTTTTCTCAATTAAGAAGAGGAACTAAATTTACAAAGAGATGGGTTAGGATTGGGCTGGTTGGTATAGATACATCTTAACCCTCAGTCTTTTACTTACAGCTTATGCACAAACTGAGTGTGGAAGCACCACCCAAAATCCTAGTAGAGAGATACCTGATTGAAATTGCCAAGAATTACAATGTACCCTATGAACCTGACTCTGTGGTCATGGTAAGTGTATCTATCCCAGAGCACAAAGGAAAATGAGTCTCGATCTGACTTTCTTTGGAAAATAAAAAACAAAACAAAACAAAAGTCTTTCCACTAATTTAAGTTGGTATGTGAGTTTTAAGCCTTTGTTTAGTTAGTGCCTATTTGGTTAACAGTAACTATGCCTTCCTCTCTCTAGGTAGTTAAGGATCAGATTAGGTGAATGACTGAAAGTATTTTTGAGAGGGTTCACGTTTTGATACAAATGTAAAATGGCGTTATTAATAGTATCAGGTAAACTTGAAGGCATTGTGAATCCCTCTATCAGTAGCAAGACCGAAACAGTTTATTTATTGTGCCCACCCCGGCCAGAAAACTGGAAGTGTTCAGGGTGAGTAGGAAAATAGTAATTATTTAGCAGTTAAGGTTGGTGGGGTATGGTAGAAGCTTTGATGTGCCGCTCACACTCCCCCCACCCACCTCATTTCACCTCACCACTGGACAGACATCAAAATGGAAGCATTTATTTTCTCAGCTTTCAAAAATGTTAACAACTTGCATCTCACACACAGCTAAAAATTTCTTCAGAAATTTTCTGCTAAAAAATACAGCTTTTGGGGCTGGGGATTTAGCTCAGTGGTTCCACCGCCTGCTTCACAAGCACAAGGACCTGAGTTCGATCCCCCGAACCACAAAATAAAAAATATAGTTTTACCCAGTCTTTCTTTCCTAGGGGGCAGCCTGTGTCTACTGGCTGGTCAGTGCCAGGATTTAAAGACTGTCTCTTTCTTCCATTTGGGGGACACCTTTGCAGGTCCAGTCCATTTTCAGAACTCCCTGTGGAATTAGCTGAGTCCTCTGCTGTGACTGCGTTAGTCTAGTGTCGTCCCCTTTCCATCACCATCAGTCTGTCAACCCCCTTCCTCTGCTTTCCCTACACGTGTTGGTCCCAAAGAGTACTATGCAGTAAACTTTGTTAATTTACCTCTCACAGTCTGCTTCCTAGGGAACCTGGCCTTAGCTATGGGTTAATGATCCAGGTTTCTCTCTCTTTCTCAGGCAGAAGCTCCTCCTGGGGTAGAAGCAGATCTTATTGATGTTGGATTTACAGATGATGTGAAGAAAGGTGGCCCTGGAAGAGGAGGTGGTGGTGGGTTCACAGCACCTGTGGGTGGACCTGATGGAACAGTGCCAATGCCCATGCCCATGCCCATGCCATCTCCGAATCCTCCTTTCTCGTATCCATTGCCAAAGGGACCAGTAAGTATATATAAAATGTAGATGTAAACTTTAGGAGATGACAAATAGGGCCTATAAATGTACTCAGGAATTAGAGGTTGTCTGAGTATTTAGCAGTAATATCTGATACTAGCTTTGTGGTCATGCTGTGGAAAAAATAGGGCCTTTGGGTTTACCGGAAAAGTCTAGAGAAAGAGTTCTCAAAAAGCTCTTTTGAGGTAGGCTTGCTAAACATTTTTGGAACCTGTGTAGTCATGCTAGTAGCTTTTTCCAAAAATGAGTAATAGCTATTTATTACCAGGCGGAAAAACCAACTTTGTAGATAAGAAGTCATTGCTAAGCATTATAAGAAAGGCTAACCAGAATTATCTCTCTTACACATTGAAGTGCTTAATTTAGTGATTAGAAGAATAGCCGTTAGTTGTAGATCTTTGAAAATCTGGAGTCCTTGTGACCATATTTGGCCCTTTTGAGCATTTTTTGTTGGTGGTGGGGTCTTGAATATAGTTATCTTTAATGTGAATACACACATTATATATTTTCCCTCTTCCTGTATGCAAACATCAGAAATTTCAAATTTGGGCCAGTGTCTCTGATAAATTGTTTTTCTCCTTTTGCAGTCAGATTTCAATGGATTGCCAGTGGGAACTTATCAGGCATTTCCAAATATTCAGCCACCTCAAATACCAGCCACTCCCCCATCGTATGAATCTGTAAGTGCCTGAGCCTGTTTTATAAGCAACAGGAGAGTGAATCTCACATGAAGAGACCAAAATAATGACCACAGGGAAGGCAAAGTTTTGATCTTTGGAATTCTTCTCTTGCTTTAACACTGCCCTGGATATGTGAAATGGTGGTGGTGGTGGTGGTGGTGATGGAGGCAGTTGTAGCCATAGTCGCATCGGTGGGCATCCTTTGTGTGCAGTGAAGTTAGGAATCAGGAAGGAGCTATAGTTCTTACAGTGTTGTAGTGTCCTACTAGGATACAACGGATTGTACGTATTGACCAGCTAGGCAGACAAGCACATTGAGCTGGAATAGTGTTGGCGTTAGGATATAATTATCTATTTTATAACTTTTCAACACTCGAGGAATTGTGACCAGATTTTACTTAAGCAGAGGGGTTAGTAAATTTCAGCATATGGCATTAATTTCGCATTTTAGTCTTGTGGTTAAAACTTCCATAAATAGTTGATGTATGTGGTAATGATGTCTTGAACTGCAAGTGGTTGTAACAGCTTTGCTTTAGTATTAGATTTCCTGCCAGCCTCATTTTCTTAGTATATGCTTTTTGAGACCTGTTTTCATCAGATACTTTACTGAGAAACACTTAGGTGGGCATTTGCTGTGTAAATCATTCATTTATAAAGCTCTCCCTGTTCCTGAGCTTGCTTGTTTTCTTTCCTTTGGCTTTTATCTCTAGCTGATGCGTTTTACCTTGGGCCTTAGGTTTCTTTTTTTCCTCCCACATTAGTCTTCCATGTGTCAAAGCATGGCTTATAGCTGTTTGTAGGAATGAGGTAGGAGATCTTCATTAGCATTTGAGGACTTGGTTCTTGTAGACAGATATATTCAGTGGTTCAGTTCTATTTGCCCCAAAGGTGGCAAAAAGGGTTATGTTGTGTTAAGAATTTTTCTGTTTGGCAATTCAGAGTACCACATGATGTCTACCTGTTTAGAAGGTAGAAGAAAGATGTGTGGAAGTAGTGCAGCATTTTCTTTGGAGCAGGTTGTGTTGCTTTTGGTGAGCAGCTTAGCTCTTGGGAAACACAAGGCTCATACCGATACTGGTACTTTCTCTAGTGATGCCATTGCTTTTTTTTCTTGTAACAATCTTTGTGTTGCAGGTTGACGACATTAATGCTGATAAGAATGTCTCTACACAGATTGTTGGTGAGTGAGAAGTCTGCTGTATCCTCATTGTTCATTCCATAGCATGTTACCTATGTGTACCCTGCCCTTTCCCTAAATGTAGTATGGGTGTTAGAGTTCAAGCTTTTCCTTCAGAACATAAAAAGTATCTTCCCCCAAGTTCCCTATTTCTGTCAAGTGGTATCACTATTACTTTCCACTACATTCTGACTATTTTTAAGTAGTGTATTGAGCCATGCTTGGTGACACATACCTATAATCTCAGCATTTGAGAAGTTGAGGTAGGAGGATTGTGTATCTGAGGCCAGCCTGGGATACAGAGAGAGTCCAAGGCTGCCTTGGACTGTGTAGTGAGCTTCTGTCTCCACGTACCGCACCCATAGTGGAATATGAGGAGCCACATTAGAGAGATGTAATAGGCACAAATCATAAATGTTCACATAACTGTTTAATTAAAAAAAAAAATACTTCCAGAACTCCAGGAACCTGGGGGAGTATGTTTAAGCTTTAGACAGTTAATTTTGTTGAGGTGTAATTTTTATTTATTAATTTATTTTTTCGGTACTGGGGATCCAACTTGGGTTGTTGCACTTGTGAGGCAGGCGGCAGAATATAATTCACATTTATTTTATTTAGGGACCTTGCTCTTGCGAGGCAGGCGGTGGAACCACTGAGCTAAATCCCAGCCGTATAATTTACATTTTAAAAAGAAACTGCACAGTCCTGCAACTCCAAAATAGAGAAAGTTCTTGTGTTTTTTCCCAGTCACCTCCACCCCTCCTTTTGTTCTAACTTACTGTAATTTAGTTTTGCCTATTCTGGAACTTTATAAATAAAAGCATGCTGGAGGCAGATGAGGGGATGGGTTTTAATATAAAATACAAAATAGAAGACTAGAAATGCGGAACAACCCCATGCATCAAATCTTATAAACACCCCCCACCAAGTGGCTCTTAGGACAGGAAGTATTTGTTCTATGAACACTAGTACCTCACTTGGGACCTGGTTCTGATAGGAGTTGAGCTTTATGAAAGGGCATTCTGATCTGTGGACCTGGCCCCAAGTTCCACACTTTTTTTCCCCTTAAACTTACTTTCCTGCAGCTAGGATTCCACTGTAATTAGAAAATGTAGAGTTTTCATCTAAATTTTGATCATTTTGCTCCCACTAAAGGGCATTGTGGCATCTGAGCCATTTTTTCAGTGTTTTAAAAATTGTATTTGCCTGATTTAATTAGGTCCTGGACCCAAGCCGGCAGTCTCTGCAAAGGCCCCTCCCAGACCTATGGATAATTACAACTTTGTACTGCCAGAATTGCCATCTGTGCCAGACACGCTACCGACTGCATCTGCTGGTGGCAGCACCTCAGCATCTGAAGACATTGACTTTGATGATCTTTCCCGGAGATTTGAAGAGCTGAAAAAGAAAACATAGGTCTCTTAAACTAGGTAACCTCCAACTTCTGGCAGTTGAAACTGAGCAGTTTTCTTGTACACAAAGAATCTCCATGAAATTCTGTTTTATCTGTTAACCATCACTGAACACACTCTTTGTGGGGGGGTGTCTTACTCTACCAAATTCTGTTGCTTCCCAGTTCTCTGCTGATCCTGAGAGACTAACACCTGGCCAGAGCAGCTGGCCCCTGGAACCGTGCCTGTCTTATTTCCTGTTAGAGGGATCCCAGGTTCTCTAGTGACCTAGCCCTCCCAGGATCTCCCCAAAGCAGCTGGCCTGGAACCGTGCCTGTCTTATTTCCTGTTAGAGGGATCCCAGGTTCTCTAGTGACCTAGCCCTCCCAGGATCTCCCCAGGAGAATGAGAAGATGAAGCATTATGGCAAGAGCTGCCAGAGATGGCTGAAGAGAGAAGAGCACCTCATGAGTATCTTTGCCTTGTGTTGAAATTCCAGACTTGGAAACAAATCCCTCTGTATTAGGGGATTGTGGTGAGACACAGGGCCGTGGTGTGTTTTCTCTAACACAAGGAAGAGAGAAAATGGTTCAGGAAGTCATAGTAACAGTTCCTAGAGGCTGGGCCCTCTCCTTTACACACTACTCGCTGCAGGGCACTGTTCCACCTGGATCCAGTTGCAAAGTTTAGGAAAAAGTTGAAGACCTCTCTTCGTTCTACTGGATTCTCAGGGAGCCCTCTGTGGCCTTTTGCTTTATTTTGAGTGCTGTGTTTCTCTTACCGGAGGGCAGCACCATAACAATTTTTTTTTTCCCCATAGCATGTTATTAGCAAAGGAAGGGGACAGGTAACATATTGGGTAGAAGTTACTATTCATACCTACAGTGGACTTCCAGCTGCCTTAATAGAAATACTCAAGTCTCTTGGGTAGTGAGCTGGAAAACCTACAGAAGAGGGGTACCTGTTTTCATTTGAAAACTTTAAAAATTGATCTGAAATTTTTAGTGCCCATGGGGCTGTAATCCACTGCTTTCCTAAGTGGATAGAATCTTCCTATTGTAACTCATGTGCTCCTCTGTTCCCAAGCTAAGGCCATGATTCCCCACAAGGTTGGCTTTGGGTTTGGAAGATAAAATTTTTGCTTCTGTGTACTGTATCTGTACATACCTGTTTTCAAGCAGCTTTGTTTTTGGCTGGTTTGTATCTCATAGTTTAGTAGCTGCTAATAAAGCTAAAGATCTTGTGTCTTGCTTTCTCCACTGTTGGTCAGATGATAAAGTATGAATTTAGATTTTTAGTGGAGAATACTTTAAGCAAGCAACTCACATTGGTGCACAAGTCAACCAGCTTTACCTTCATCTCCCCTAGTAATGCAGATACATAGAACCCTTCAGTTTCCTCTCTGAACTTAAGCCCAGGTAGCATCTATGTGTTTTAGTTACTTGTCTATAACAGGACTCCCCATCACTCAAGCCTCTCCTGATTGTATCTTTATTTTTAGTAAATTGTAATGAGCTCACTTGTGACTCATTCATTTCCCATAGCCTTCCTGGGGCATGGATGATGAGTATCCTGTTGCTTGCTACTTGGCAGCAGAGGTGGTTTATCACTGTTGTTATTTTTATAGTGTTATTCCTTTCCTGACAGTGCCAAGATCTACAAGCAAGAACTTGGAGCTAAGGGAATTTTGATTCCTTGGTAACTTACAGAATTAAGAAAGTTTTATGTGCATTTATAAGTAAGTTCCTGAACTTCATCATGTAAAGATAAGAGGTAACAAGATTGACACTAAAGACTTAGAAGGTGATCTATCTCATTGTTCATTGCTATTGTGACTGCTCTCAGATGAGGGGTTCTAGGGCTGCCAAATTTGATAGCTTTTGTAGCAACAGATCTGTCAGTGCAGCTTCTTTCTAACTATTTTGAGGAGAAAAAAAAAATCGAGATTGTTGCTAATTTTAGAGTAAAAAATGTTCTAAACAAAGAAATAGGACATAGTGAAGTGTGTAATGTATAGTAAAGATGCTACTTCTTTAATGATGTACTTTTATGTATCACTACTTAATGGTCAGGAGTCAGCTACTTATTAGACAGTGGCTACTGAACATAATGTCCTGGCAATTGGGTTTCCTAAGAAAATGATTATCAGAACTCTTGGGATTATAATAGTTCTGATTCTGTGCATGATGTTAAGTCTGTATCTTAAAAGCAGTTACAGTTAAGCTTTTTCAGTGGTACAAAATCATGATAGTTTTATTTTGTAGCTATTGAGCAAGAATTACTCACCTTAAGTAAGGGTCTTACTTTCTTTTCCAAAGACCATGAGAATGGCCGAAACAAAAAGATTAATGATCACAAGTATCATCATGACGACACTGGTGAGGATCAGGAAGAAACCGAGTGGCTGACAGTTGAGTTTGTGCCTCACAAACAGGCGATATGCTACATGTAGTTCTGTTAGAAAGTAGGAAGAGGTGCCAAAAGATACCAAGTTTTAAGTGGACATACAAGGAAGGGTGACCGAATCTAAAGACACTCAAGTATTTTGACATCACAGCTTTTACAGGAAGAAAACCATTGAGTTATACCAAAAGTGATCATGAAAACCACCTCTGCCACCATAAGAAGTTTCTCTGAATACATAGGGTTTGAATTTTTTAAAAAAAGCCAGCTAGCCTTTTAATATTATTTTTTTCCTGTTGTTTTTTAAAGGTATAAGTACCGAGTTCGTGCTCCCCTGCTTTTTTGCATGAAAGAGTCTTTGCAAATTTAGGTCTTAAATAGAATGGTTCCTATATGATGCTTACTTTCCTTTGCTATAAACTGGGGCAGTGTTTAAAAGCCTAATAACTTATTAGATGTTACCTGCAACACCACTGTGAAAAAAAATCTGTGATAAAATTTATTTCCAAGCACTAATGTATCATCCACTTAAAAGTTTTCTGTTCATGTCGCACAAGCACATTGAAAGCAGAAATGTATATATTTATGGGGTGCCATGTGATGCTTTGACATATGTATATATTGTGTAGTGTCCCCCCTTTTTGTGGTACCGGGGATTTGAATTTGGGACCTTGGCTCTGCAAGGCAGGCAGCCAAATCAGTGAGCTAAATCCCTGGCCCATTATAGTGCTTTAATTAAGGTAAAACTCTCAAACATTTCTTTCGGACAAACCTGCTTTGCCCTTTGTGTTGAATAGAAAGATGGGTTTGTATCAGATAGTTCATGGGGAAAAGTAATAGGCTCACTGAAATGTATATTAACTAAGCTGAAATAATGCAGTTCAAATGCAATGTATGGTAGCAAATCCTGTCATCTCCAGACCAAAATTGCATATCCTCATCACCGCCCAGTGCCAGTGGCATACAGGCAGAAAAGGGTGCAACTATGATAGGCTGAAGCAACATTTTTGTTGAAATGAGAAAAGAATCGACTAAACAAAGAGCTCATTGATACACTTAGGCAGGATCTGAGCAAGTCATCGACTACATAGAAAAACAAAAGGAGAGAGAACTTGAATCTGGAGCAGGAAAAAAAAAATCCTACCAACAGTAACCTTCAGTAATCCTGTATGATCTTGGGGCTGAGAGAAGAAAATGGAGACCAGCAGACAGGAGGAGGGAACTAGTCATCCTACGAAAGCTCAGACACTGATTCTGTGATCACTGTCTCTCTCTGCTGGCTGCTTCTGTCTCTCCCACAAGATGGAAGAGCAGTATATGAGTTCCTCCAAACAAATGCACAGGAAATGTGAAGCCCATCTGACAAAAACATTGTGCTTTGAAATATTTTCACATTGAGATAAAAATCTCATATTTTACACAGCTTGTTGCTGAAAATAATTATGGGGAAAAGAATATAATTCTTTCTGGGAATGAACCTCCCTAAAATTATTTTCCTTATACAGTTTGAAAGGGCCATGAAAAAGCAGCAGCAACTTGTCATTCTCCTAGTGATAAACACAGGTTTGGGCCCATTTTTCCTTTGGCAGTATGACTAAGGATACAGGAAATAAAAACACTGCTGAAAGTAATAGCCATTCAAAAGCTATATGCATAGGCATTCCCGTGAAAGTCTTAAGTTCTCCTTTCTCTGGTATGCAGTGGGGATGGTTTTTATTGGCCATTCCCCCCAAGTTAGAGTTGTTAAGCTAAATAGAATTCTCCAGAGAAACCATGACTTCCTTACCTCCACGTGAGAAATTCCCATTAGGAGACCAGCTACAGTCACTGCTGAGCTGAAGAAAGGCTGTCAGAGGTGCATCATCTAAACCGGGAGTAAAACTAAACAAAACGAGGAAGACCAGCAGTCAGTGGGAGCTGACTGCAGTTCTGTCCTGAGGTACTTGGTGATGTGGCTGTTGTGGAGCCAGTGGAATGTAAATTTTTGGTGGCCAAATTACTATACTTGGGAAGTGCACAAAGTTGCTTTGTAACTGTATAGTATTTTCATATAAATTTGACTTTCACATCTATGATACCTTGTTTTATCCCCATTTTGAGATGAGAAAAATACGTGTGTTTCAACCATGCTATAGAATACAACCTGTTTTTTTCCCCTTGTTTTTCAAGATAAGGTCTTTAAGAATACAACCTGTTTTTTTCCCCTTGTTTTTCAAGATAAGGTCTTTAAGAATACAACCTGTGTTTTTCCCCTTGTTTTTGAAGATAAGGTCTTTAAAGCTGAGGCTATCCTTGAATTCATGATCTGCCACAACCTTTTGAGAGCTGGAATTGCAGGCATCTGCTGCTGTGGCCAGTTTAACACATTGATGACAGCGCTGTAATTCTTACGTGTTTGTGCCAGGTGGTTCTGAACCACTGGTGGCATGTGCATGATTATTCCATTGGGCGGCATGGGACAGTCCCATCAGGTGGCACAAGTCACTGAGTGGGATAGTCATGTATATACCACTGGTGGTTCAAGCTGGTGGAATGTATTAGACCCCACTTTTATTCGGTGACCTTTTTTCCACAACTCACTGCCAAGGGAAAGGATGTTACTGAGGTCACAGCACGTACGGAAAGAGACCGATTTGCAGTCATGGCATAGCTGGTCAGCAGGAGTCATGATCAGCAGGTGTTGCTTGGGGATTCATTGATAACCCATAGCCTGGGGTTGTGGTGCAGCAGATCTCATAATTGAACAGTTGCCAACAGTATAAGGAAGCCCACAGGGTGAGTGAGAGGAGTTCACTATTAAAGCCTGATAGAAACTGATAAACCATTTTTTGGGTTTTTTTTTTTTGTCTTATTTTGTTTTGTTTTGTTTTTTTGAGACAGGGTCTCACTATGTAGTTG